CTGTGGCACACATGTGCATGTATATATATGTACACACACAAACACACACAATAAGTACAATAAAAGTTTAGAAAGAAAACATAAAGTGCAAAGGCTTCCAGATGGAGTCAATACTGGTGGGCTTGAGGAATATAAAGACCACTGAGCTTAAGAGTAATTATGGCAGGAGAAACTGGGAGAGGTCAGAAAGCGGGCAGAGGCTAGGCCTTTCACATTTCCTACAGGGCAAGGTTTATTCTAATATCAATTCTAATATAGAAAACTACTGGAGAGTTTTGTGTACGAAGATAACCTGAGTTCTAGTTTTAACTCACCATTCTGGATGTGGTATAACAAATGTAAGGAAGCAGAGAAACCAGTGAAAGGAAATTACAGTCATCTACGTGAATGAGAGAGGCCTATGTCAAGGGTGGCAGTGAGATTGGAAAGGCAAGATATGAGAAATAGTCTGGAGGGGGACACCTTATGATTTGATAAATTTAAAGAGTATACAGGAAAGAGGAATTAAATATGACTCCTGGTTTTTTGCTTGAGCTACTTTGCAGATGGTGGTGTGATTGGCTTGAACTTAGGAAGACTGGGGAGTAATAGCAAAATTTGGATAGATCATATCAGGAGTTTGAGACACATTAGACTTGAGATGCTTATAAGACAGTCAAATTTGAAGACAAGCAGGCAGTTGGATAAAGAGTATGAAACTTCCGATTGGCCTAAAATTTTGAGATTCATCATCACCTTATAGACCATAGTGACACAGGACTATGTGAATCCATTCAGGGAGGACTGAAGTGTGGTGGAGACTCTTGCTTTAGCTGTTGGGCATGGGAGGAAGAGGCTACAGAGATAATTGTAGAATGTCTAGCTGTTTTCCATTGCTGTTAGTGAATACTATGGATTGGATAATTATAAAGAAATTTGTTTCTAACAGTTTAGAGCCCTGGGGAATCTAGTAACAAGTTGCTACATCCAGTGAGGGCCTTTTTGCAGGGTAGCTTGAGAAAGTAGAGACTATCTATTGTACCCAATGGAGGCTTCAGAAGATGGAATGAAGTTATAGCAAGAGGGCCAGAGAGATGGCCCAGCAGATAAAGCCACTTACCTCCAAGCGCTACAACCCTGAGTTCACACTCTGGAATCTACATAGTGGAAGGAGAGAACTGATTCCCTAGGACTATTCTTTAACCTGCACATGTATGTCATGACATGTGTCCCCCCACACATACACTCACACAGATATGCAAATAACTTAAATGTAAAAAAAAAAAATCTTTCGAGTTATAGCAAGTAGAGTCCCTTTGAGCCAAGGGTGCAGTTTGAACCTCGTGAAAACAGGATCTTAGGCTTTGCCCTGCTTGTGGGCATTTCCTTCTATCCAGAGTGGAAGCTTGGATCCCAGCGGCAGTAGCTGGGAACCAGTAAAACGTTTGATTTTGTTGTTTTATTGGCGTGAGGCCTAAAATGGATAGCTAGATGGGCCATTAAGCAACTGCTACATGTCATGAATTATTTCCATTTCCAACATGTCTGAGTGATAAATGATATGATAATAAATAGGTAATTTATGTACTTGAACCATAAGTATCAAATTTACCACTTGAAAGATTTGGCATGCCTCCACAATGGGAATAAATGGAATAAATGCCAATATAATCTTTTTTTTTTTTTTTTTTTTTTTTTGGTCTTTTTTGAGACAGGGTTGGGTCTTGCTGTAGCACCAGCTGGCCTGGAACTCCCTACTCCCTATGTAGACCATGCTGGACTTGAACTCACAGAGACCCATCTGCCTGGGATTAAAGGCGTGCGCCACCACACCCATCGGCAATATAATCTTTAGCATTTATTGAACATGTAATACCAGGTGTTTACTATATCTTATCTCACTTAATCTTCACAATCACTTTCTGAACTAGTGTATCTAATTTTCTCTAGATTAAAGTTTTGGGTGATTGGGGCTTGACACCAATAAATTTTATGTAGGCTATGTTGAGATGTGGTTCATGTATAGACTTGCTTGGTTTTTATCTGCATGCATTAAAAAACCCAAAAGAATAATAGGTTTAAAAAAAAAACGCTAACATCTTGCATATTTAAAAATAAGAATCAAGCCAGGTGTGGTGGTGCATGTCTTTAATTCCAGCACTCAAGAGGTAGAGGCAGAGGCAGAGGCAGGCAGATCTCTGTGAGATCAAGGCCAGCCTGGTTGACATAGGGAATTCTAGGTCAGCTGGATCTAACAGGAGACCCTGTCTCGATTTAAAAAAAAAAAAAAAAAAATTAGGTGTTTTTGTTGGTTTTCTGTAACTGGGGATTAAAGAAAGCCAGGGTCCTGTGCATGCTAGGCAAAAGCTTTACCACTAAGCTATATTCCCAGCCCTCTTTTCCCTTTTTATTTTGATACAAGTTCTCACAAAGTTGCCCAGGTTGTCTTTGAAATAACTCTGTTGCCCCCAGGCTGGGCTTGAGAGCTCTCCATCCTGTCTCAGGCCTGGGCTACCAGGGTGAGTTGAGGTTTTCTTTCTTTCTTTCTTTCTTTCTTTCTTTCTTTCTTTCTTTCTTTCTTTCTTTCTTTCTTTTTCTTTCTTTCTCTTTCTTCTTTTTTTTATTTTTAGCTTATGTGATCTAACTGAAACAAAAAACCCCAAAACAAAAAACCTGATATACTCCAAATAAAATTAAAAAATCAGGATTTCCCCCCAATTCCCAGCTCTAACATTCCATCATCGGCAAGGGGATAGTGGAAGCACAGCACAACACAGAGTCATCTTCTCTGGAGAACAAGTTTACTTCAAAACATGGAAGCCGATAAATGGGCTATAACTTTCCTGTTGTTCATGAGTCAGCATGAAAAATACCTCCAGAGAAGGCTAAGTAGGTCAGATTTATCTAAGAAGACAGCTGTTTAATCCAGTATCCCTCTCCAGCCTCATGGCACAGAAGATACCTGTTTCTGGCTTTGTGAACAACGGTCAAATAGCATTACCCACCTTTATGAAGTTTGCAAGACTTCAGTGTAAAAAAAAAATCAGGCTGCCCTGAAAGACCTTGGTAGAATAAATGGGAACAGAGTCAAATGTCCATAGCAATGTGCCTTAGTCTTTTTCTTTTTCTTTTTCTTTTTTCCTGGTTCCTCAGTCTTTTAAACCATTCTCACTGATAGCAAAAAGGTAATAATTTTAAAAATCAGTGAAGTTTTACATCATGATTTTTAAACTAAACCTGTTCAATAAAACCTGTTAGAAACTCTGTTTGCTTTCTTAGTACAGAAAATTTAAAATTAACATACAGCAAATAAATAGGTTTATGAGAGAACTTTCAATTAGAAATGAACTTTGAAAATGAAGGTAGCAGTTACTGCCTATGTAGGCTATTGTTTTTGCAGTGCTGGGGAGTTGAACCCAGAGCCTCCTATGTGCTAGCTAAACTATACTCCCAGCCTACAGCAAGTTCTCTAATTTATTACAGTCCCCTTTACACAGTGCTGGTCTTTCAGAGTCCAAGGGGCAAATTTGGTGACCAGAAATGAAGAGGAAAAAGGGGGCCACATTGTGATGGGACAGGAGATCTTTGCTAGAGAAGATATCCACTGGCAATATAGGAAAAAAGTACTTGCTGTTCAGTTTGGACAATGCAAAGTGACTTTTTCACATGGACAATTTTTGATAATTTCAGCTAACTCTGGCAAAGAAATTAAGGTGCTTTGAACACTGTTTAGAGTTAACATTTAGACAGTGCTAGATTGGGTACTCAGACTGGGAAAGAGAATCCATAATTCATTTTGTCTTTCTCCAGCATCTTTCCTGCTGTTTGAACACGATTTCCCAGTCTAGACTGGAAGACACCAGAAGCAATTAAATAGATCAATGTAAGCAGACAGGTGTGCACCATCATTCCCCCATCTTTATACTGCGAAGCGCATATTCTTTCTTTGAATTTTCTACAAGCTACGCTCCTAACAACAAAACTGTTCTTAAGGCTGCCAATACTCACAATTTAAGCAAATCGATTACTAAGTAGCCCTTTGTGACATCTTTGGCAAAGCAGGATATTAATTTTAAAGATATCGCAAGTCCTAGAGTTTTAGTTACCGGCATAAGAAACGTAAAAAATGTATTTCCAAGTACGAGTTACGCTACTCTATTAATGTTGGAAAAGGCAAGCGATGATATCCTCTATTTTCTACCTTTACAAGCAGCTGGATGACTTTTACAATTTGATTCCGAAAGTGGGTATGTCTTCAGGGTCTATAAAGGTCTAACCTAGGGCAAAGCTCTTCCACCTGTCACGACTTGGATGGTGTCCATGGGGGGTATCGAGGGTACCACCGCCACCCCGCGCTGAGGTCAGCCGCTCGGGTGTTGAGAGAGCTTTTTATTCTAAATTACAGACTTCGCAGCCACCGGATATCCTTGCTGCATAGCTGGCAGTAGCCATGTGGCTGCACTCGCGTTTCCTGACACCCACTGCGTTATTTTCATTAATATCCTGTCCAAGGCCTCTCGCTGGCGACGACTCATTTGCCTCGACCGCCGACCGCGGCAACTGTCCCCACCGCGGCCGGGGTGGCACTTACAGAGGGATCGCCTCCGAAAGTTCACAAGGCACCCTCGCCCCGTAGGTCCCAGGTCTCCCAGAGTGGAGCTGTGGGGGGCGGGCGGGCACGTGCTGAGCGCCGCGAGCGTTCGCACTGTCCCCGTCCCGGGTGTCCCGCCGCGCTCCCCTCGCTTCTATCTGTAGCGCACACGCGCCCAGAGCCAGCGCCGCGGCGGAGGCAGCAGCTGCGGGGGGCGGGGCGGGGCTGGAGGGCAGGGCTGGCGACACGGGGGCGGAG